GGGGGAAAATGGGAATTTTCAGGGGGAAAATTGGGGATTTTGGGGGATTTGGGGCTGTTTTTCCCGAATTTTTGGGGGAATTTTGGCATTTTGGGGCAGCTTCGAAAAAATGCCCCAAAATTCCCAAATTTTCGCCCAAAATTCCCCAATTTTTCAGGTTCAAGCTGCTGAACCAGGAGGAGGGCGAATATTACAACGTCCCCGTGGCCGACACCGACGACTGCGGCCTCCGGCCCAAATTCGAGGTTTGGAGCCCCAAAATTCCCAAAATTTTCCCCACAATTTTGGCAAATTCCCCAAATTCCCCGAAAAGGAAAAAATCCCCCCCAGAAATCAAAAAAAATCCCGGAAGAAAACTCCAAAAAACGCAAAAAATGGCCAAAAATTTAAAAAAAAATTAAAAAAAAAAATTGGAAATATTCCCACAAAAAATTTTGAGGAATTCCCACAAAATCCAAGAAATTGGTAACATTTATTAAAAAAAATGAAAAAACTGCATAGAAATTCTCAAAAAAATACCAAAAATGCTCCAAAGTTTTAAAAAATTCTCCAAAAGTTCTGAGAAATTCCCAAAATTTCCCAGGAAAGGAAAAAATTCCACCCAGAAATTTGAAAAAAAAAACCCAAAAAACCCCAAAAATTTTCAAAATTTTTAAAAATCCAAAATATTCCCAAATAATTCCAAAAAAATTTTTTAAATCCCAAAAAAATCCTGAAAATTCTCCAAAAATTAAAAAAAAAAAAAATCTCAAAATATTCCTAAAAATTCCCCCAAAAAAGTTCCAAAAAGTCCCAAAAAATTCCCAAAATCCCCAAATATTTTCCTCAAATTCCCCAAAAATTCCGATTTTTGGTTTTTTTTTAGGCTTGCAATTATCCGCTGGAGCTGTACGAGGTAAAATTGGGGGAAAAAAATCCAGGAAAAATTGGGAAAATTTTGGGATAAAATTGGGATAAAAAGAAGGGAAAAATTGGGGAAAAATTGGGGAAATTTGGGAAAATTTTAGGATAAAATTGGGCGGGGAAAATGGGGAAATTTTGGGGAAAATGGGGAAAAAATGCAAGAAAAAAGCTGGGAAATGGGGAAAATGTAGGAAAATGGGAAAATTGGGAAAAATTGGATTTTTTTGGGAATTTTTTCCGGTAGAAAGTGCAGCGGGGGCCGGGGGGGAAATGCAAAAAAAAAAAAAAGGGAAAATTTGGGGAAAAATGGGAAAAATTGGGGGGGAAAAGGGAAATAATGGGAGAAAAATGAGAAAAAATTGTGAAAATGGGAAAAATCGGGAAAAATGCAAAAAAAAAAAAGGGAAATTTTGGGGGAAAAGTGCAGGAAAAAAGGTGAAATTTGGGGAAAATGGGAAAAATTTGTTGGAAAGTGGGAAAAATTGGGGGAAAAATAGGGAAAAAATGGGGAAAAATTGTGAAAAAAATGGGAGAAAAATGGGGAAAAATTGGGAAAATGGGAACAATCGGGAAAAATGAAAAAAAAGGGGAACTTTTGGGGGAAATTGGTGGAAAATGGGGGGAAAGTGCAGGAAAAAAGGAGAAATTTGGAGGAAATGGGAAAAGTTGGGGGGAAATTGGGAAAAATTGGGAAAAAATGGCGGGAAAATAGGAAAAAAAAAGAAATGGGGGAAAAAATTGGGGAAAAATTGGGAAAAATGCAAAAAAAAGGAAATTTTGGGGGAAAATGGTGGGAAAGTGCAGGAAAAAAGGAGAAATGTGGGGAAAATGGGAAAAATTGGGAAAAAATGGGAGAAAAATGGGGAAAAAATGGGGAAAAAATAAATAATGGGGAAAAATCGGGAAAATGGGAAAAATTGGGGAAAATGCAAGAAAAAGGGCAATTTTGGAGGAAAGTGGGAGAAAAGTGCAGGAGAAAAGGAGAAATTTGGGGAAAATGGGAAAAATTGGGGAAAAATGGGGAAAAAATGGGAAAAAATTGGGAAAAAAATGGGAAAAAATTGGGAAAAAAATGGGAGAAAAATGGGAAAAAATTGGGAAAAAATTGGGGAAAATGGGAACAATTTGGGATGAAATGGGGGGAAATGCAGGGAAAAAGCTGGGAAATGGGGGAATATGTTAAAAAATGGAATTTTTTGGGAATTTTCTCCGGCAGAAAGTGCGCCGGGGGCCGGGCCCCTCCCCCAGCCCCTCCCCGCTGCCCTCCCCCGGCAGCGGCCGCTCGACGCTCGGGGACTTCAACTTCCTCATGGTGCTGGGCAAGGGCAGCTTCGGCAAGGTCAGATCCCCAGAATTCCCAAAAAATTTGGGAATTGCCAAAAAAAACCCGGGGAAAAACGGTGAAAAAATGGCGGAAAAAGGTGAAAAAATGGCGGAAAACGGATGGAAAATGGAGAAAACAGTGAAAAAATGGCTCCAAAAAGAGGGAAAATTAACTCAAAAATCAATTTGGGGGTTGAGATCTAAAATTCCCAAAAGAATTTGGGAATTCCCAAAAAAAACCCGGGGAGAAACGGTGAAAAAATGGCGGAAAACGGGGAAAAAATGGCGGAAAACGGATGGAAAATGGGGAAAACGGTGAAAAAATGGCTCCAAAAAGAGGGAAAATTAACTCAAAAATCAATTTGGGGAGGTGGGATACAGAATTCCCAAGATTCCCAAAAGAATTTGGGAATTGCCAAAAAAAACCCGGGGAAAAATGGTGAAAAAATGGCGGAAAACGGGGAAAAAATGGCGGAAAACGGATGGAAAATGGGGAAAATGGTGAAAAAATGGCTCCAAAAAGAGGAAAAATTAACTCAAAAAACAATTTGGGGGTTGAGATCCAAAATTCCCAAAAATTTGGGAATTGCCAAAAAAAACCCGGGGAATAACGGTGAAAAAATGGTGAAAAATGGCTGGAAAATGGGGAAAACGGTGAAAAAATGGCTCCAAAAAGAGGGAAAATTAAAAATCAATTTGGGGGGGTGAGATCCAGAATTCCCAAAATTCCCAAAAAATTTGGGAATTCACAAAAAAATTCCAGGGAAAAACGGTGAAAAAATGGCGAAAAACGGCCGGAAAATGGGGAAAAAGGTGAAAAAATGGCTCCAAAAAGAGGAAAAATTAACTCAAAAATCAATTTGGGGGTTGAGATCTAAAATTCCCAAAAATTTGGGAATTGCCAAAAAAAACCCGGGGAATAATGGTGAAAAAATGGTGAAAAACGGCCGGAAAATGGGGAAAACGGTGAAAAAATGGCTCCAAAAAGAGGGAAAATTAATTCAAAAATCAATTTGGGGAGGTGGGATACAGAATTCCCAAAATTCCCCAAAACAATTTGGGAATTCCCAAAAAAAATCCTGTGACCGTCCAATGGCGCCAAAATCCCATGGGAACAGAGTGAAAAAAAATCAGAAAAAAATGTTTAAAAAATCGAAAAAAAAAAAAAAAAAAAATCTGAAAAAAATGGGGGAAATTCCCAAAAAATTCCCAAAAAATTCCCAAAAATCCGAAATCATTTGGGAAACACCCGAGACCGTCCAATGGCGCCAAAATCCCATGAGAACA